GTTACTAGGCAACAGGATAGATAATAAACAGTAGCAGCAGGGTATGTGATGAGTTGCCAGTTAGGAAAACTGTGTAGATGTGGTGATGAGTTACAGAGTTTCTCACAAGGTGACACAGTCCACACTCACACACACACAGTAACTGGAATGGTTACTAACAGGATTGCGCAACTGGAGCGTGAGTATGCTGCCGTGTGTTTCAGGTGCAGCGTGTAGGATCACATGGGCACAGATTGCTCACGGCTCAGGCACGTAACTGTGTGTGTGCACGTTTGTGTTTGCGTGTGTGTGTTTTAATAGGGCAGCTCAACTTCCGCTCAGATTCACTGCATCAACTTCCTGTCAGATTCACCACATCATTGTTTCTCAATCAGTCAGCAGTTGGATTACAAACAAATCAGAACTTTCTTAGCTAGCGTCAGCAAGTAGTGTCCTACAAACTGCTAATTCAGTGGGGACTTCCCCATCCATATTCATCTGCTATAGCTACTACCTCTGTAGTGTTTTTACACAGGACCTTCCCCAGGTAAGTCAAAGAAAAAACTAATTTCTCTCCCTCATGAGGAGGGAGGATAATGAAAGTTCACAGAAGTAACACGTAAAGGTAGACCTATCAATTAGTTTGTGTTTTTACTGATATCAATTTTGTTTATGAATTATTAAGTGAGTAAAACTCGATATTCCGTTACCAAATCAGTAACAGAATTTCCTAAATATTGATAACGGAATTTCTGCAATTGAATTGGCTACAATGGGAAATCCTAGTAGTCACAAACCACAGTTGGGTTCACAAGTTTGGACAGTACAGTACAGTAGAGTAGAGTTCAGTACAGTGAAGAAAAATAGAGTATAGTACAGTACAGTACAGTACTAAACAGTAGATTTCAGTACAGTACACAGTAGAGCACACTAGAGTTGACTACACTAATGTACAGTACTGAACTATACTCTACTTTACTGTACTCTTCTGTACTCTGCTTTACTGTTCTGTACCGTACTCTACTGTACTGTACTTTGATGTCCAAACATTGTGAAACATAGACGTCTGTGATTGGTTCAGATTTGGTCCGATCCGGACCTACCAAATTTGGTTTTGTTTGGGGGCAAAGCTCATTCAATAATAATACCCAAATATGCAAAGAAAGATATTGCATATTTATGCATTTGTGTAGCCTACCTATTTAGGATACATTACCATGAATAGAATGACATTCTATTCATGCATTTCTGTGTAGTACAGATTAGGGACCCATGATGAAATTCATACCGCAATTCCGTTACCGGGTGTAAATCCACTTCACTTACTGTAGTTCAACAACCAAAATAGACTTTTTCAAAGTCAATGTGTCATGTCCTATCTGACACCTCATTCTTTCTGCAGACGTCGTTGAATCTTAACTTGGATAGATATGTAACAGCGTTTTTTTTGGGAAAACGTGGACACATAGAAAACTGAGGGAGATTTTACTGAAATTATTTTACCAAACTTTGCATCTGCACAGTTCTTCCAGTAAATGTGTTTTTGTAAAATGTTCAGTGGAAATTCTTAAAAGTAGTCCTTGTGCATAACGTTTTATGGTTTGTCAAACTTTGAAATTCATGCTTTTTGTTTGGCATACATTTTAAATGAAAAATCGGAGTCTCAGCGCAATTCCGTTGCTGTGAAATTGCCCTATTACTAATACTAAGAATTATTTTGTGGGCTAACAATGGTGGCTGGTGGGCAATGAAACCACAGCATTACAGTACCTCTTCTTGTCTCTTGCCTTCAGATATGTTGCTAATATGGAAGGTATGCCTGGCCTAGAGGAGTTGTCTTGTCTGTTGCTTCCAGACAGGTAGCTACAGTAATATGGAATGCGAAGCGTTATTTTGTGGTCTAACAATGTGATGTTGGCTGGCTGGCATTGAAACCACAGCATTACAATTCCTCTTGTCTGTAGCTTTCAAACATGTTACAGTATGTTGCTAATATGGAAGTCTAGAGAAACTATTCGTCAGTCAGGCAGTGATACCTTGGGAAAAGCTCTAAAGTGTCCATTGTTATCAGTGCCAGTACATGAACGCACCGCTTTCTCTCATTAGCAAAATGAGAGTGGGGGGTTGTCTGTTGAACAGTTTTCATAGAAGTAGAACACTAGCTGCTGTTTCTCTATGACTGAGAGGATGTTTATGGTTGTCAATGTGGAATGCTTTTCATGTTTTCTGTGTGCTATTTTTATCAAGGCGCAGGCTAGTGTGTCTCTGTTATTTATGTCGTTGCTGACCTATACTTTTGTGAT